ATATTTAGCAATTGTTGTCTTTCTTGGATGGAACTCTACATTACTATTTCAAGAAACTATAATTTTAAAAGTCCACACCAGAATAAGATAGACGCTTTTTGAAACATTCTGGAAGGACTAGTATTTAAGACTGCGCTACAGAAAATCGTTCGCATGATTTCAATTTGAACATTATTTATACATTAATTTGACAGGATATAAAATCAATTGCCTAATTATTGGTTAAATTTATCAAAGAGATTCTACTGAAAGGTGCTTGATTATGGTGCATAGTTATGATAATATAATCAAATTTCCTTTCAGATGTAATTGACCAATTTTGTTCCCCAATCCATTTCTTTCTCATTCTTAAGATGGGCTTCTTCAATTGTTTCCCCCTTTCAAAGTAAAAAATAGCAAGTACTATGCACGGTCGTCCTGTAATTATGTGGTAAGATCTCTCCATGCTAAACCTGTACACTTAAACACAGACCTAATACATGGAATTGCCATAATTTAGAATGCTGTAAACACGGATCATGCCATAATCTGAAAGAGGTGCCCATGTCGGTGTTTACTAACCTGATCCATATGGAGGGGAGAGAGCTGTAAGATGATATAGTTTATCAAATCGAGTTCCCTAAATCTTAGCTAGCAAATTCAGCAGTCCCCATAAACAGTGAATTACCCTTACAGATGTTAGACTATGAAATTATCAACTACTGAAGGTACTTTGCTAGGAAACACAATCTGTTCGGCGTCAAGGCTAAGAGAAGCACTCTATCTGCATTTTTGACTCGAGAAAGGACTTAATTGATAGTTTGTTGATATTTCTAAGTAAATTCTTGCAAGGAACAAATAAATCATACCACCACAAAGCAAATAATCACTGAACATCCATCCTCGGCTAGTAGTATTTAGTGCACCAGCTCTCCTTGGCTTAACTCTTCCAGAAGTGATTACTCGAGGACCCATCACACCCCGTGGAGCTCAGGAGAGAAGCTGCTGTGGCCCATATTATTACATATGAGCAGCTTCAGAGTCCCTCATCTGATAGATGAGTTGTAACTGCAAAACACCACCAGAGTTATTGTTAGTTTTCATTTCTGTTTGGACTTGAGGGCGGCTTGAATCTAAAGAGAAAATGGCGTGCTTGCTGACCGAAGCAGGTACGCGGGCTGGGCCAATGTAAACGTTGCCTTTACATTTCTGATTTGTAAAATGTAGACTAGGCAACGATGTACTTGACAAGTAGCAAAGACGAGTGGATCTAGGCAGCTTGTTTTGTAGCAGGAGGGCAGTTGGAGGAGAGGTGCTGTAGGCTGGTGGTTTCTGGCCTGTTTGAAAAACCGCTTGAAATTATTTTGGCATAATTGGATTTGTATGAGTCATCAAAGCAACGGCAGCTGAGAGGAATTGGTGGCTGATGCCATCACAATGTTAATCATAATGGAGACCGGAGCTTGTGAAGTCAGAATGGATTCAAGTGCACCAACAGGAGCAGAATGGGTAGCATGGTGGTTGTTTTGCAACATGGGACTCATGACACAGATTTTTAGGACTGTCGTGAGAGGGACGTGACGTAGTATGCTCAAGCGCTCAAGCCTAGAAGTGGCACATTGCTGTTATTTTTTATCAGGGGCAGTAATGTGTCATTGTTATTATTTTATTATTTGAGGTGAGATTTGAACATAATCAGAATGGTAGGAAGAAAGAATTAATTCCTGACACCTGCTCAAATTCTGTTGGTTTGGTGGGATTCTTAAAGTGGCTAGGACTAAGTCAGCCAGCATCTGGAGCAATTTTTTTTTTTTTTTAAATCCAGAGGTTTGTGAGAGGGCGGTGGACAGTTTGGCGTAGTGTAAAATGCAGACCAAGTTCCATTTCTGCTTCTGCTGTATCCTAGATTCACTCTCGCTGCAGGTCTTTTATAACCCCTCTGGGCCTCAATTTCCTGAAATAATTAGGGACTACACCACGTTTTCTATTACCAAAATAAGATAATGGGGTTCAAGTGTTTTCAAAGGCAGTCATGTGCCACAGAAAAATAAGGTCACCCTATCAGGTCAAGCCAGCCCTGGATAGACCAGAGGAGGTGGGCTACAAGACGGTATGAGAAGCAGGAGCACAAAGAAAGAGAAGTCTGAAAAAGAGCTGAGGCCACAATCACAGAAATGGTGAGAGGAGCTTGCAAAGAAAGCCAACTGGTTTGAATTGGAACGGCGTTTTGGAAAAGGAGGCAAAAATAAAATGCCTTAGGGAAAAGTATTTCCATTGCCTGGGGACTGAGGGGCTGAGAGAGGGGAGAGGCCAGTCGTGTTGTAGGTGGTTAATAAAAGAAGTCTGTCCCCACGTGAGATGAAGTGGGTTTGCATGCTTAGCCTGCTGGGCTGTGGAGGGCAAAAAGGGGGGAGATCGGTGAGGTGGGGAAGTTGAGAGACCAAACACTGAGATCTCCATGTTTCCCAGGCAAACTGTGTGCACGCTTTAAAGATTCTCTCATTGCAGGTGGGTCGTAGGGTGGAGGGTGAGTTATTGTGTGAGTTATTCATGTTTGATACATGAAGAGATCGAGAAGCCACACGGCTAGAGAGTGATGGACCTACGGCTTTCTACCCTGGGGCTAGAGCCCCTTCTTCCACACGGCTACACCTCAGTGAGGGAGAATACGCCCCTGCTCTGGGCTTGTCTGAAAAGCACTGAGGGTGTCAGAGAGAGGTGGTGAGAAAGAGGAAGGGAAAAGTCACCCCCCCACCAGGAGGAGGCAGATGGCGAGCATGGCCACACAGAGGGCTCTGGAGCCATCCCATCCGCTGGGCTCCACAGCCCTCGAACAAACACGACCACGAACCTGTTGTGCCACACAATGTGGGCTATACAGATTTAAGAATTACTCATAAAATTTAGGACATAAACTTCAGGATGCTTATTTTTATTCTAAGCATGGGAAATGAAACATGTCAGTCTTCAATAAAGGAAAGCCCACTCATTAATGGTGCTGTTGAAAAAAACCCAGAATTCTATACAATCTATAGCCCTTCAAAAAAAAAAAAAAAAAAAAAAGACGTTTCCCTAGATTCTCTTTCAAGAACAGAAGGACTTTTGTTACTTCCTCAAAGGGTGCTATCTTTTATGAGCTTATTAAGGCAACCTGCTTCTTTTCTTTCCACGTTGAAGTGACATTCTGTTGTTTCCCTAAGTGGCTCCTCCAGTGGCCTGGGGCCCCCAGCCTCTGCCAGGTGCTCACCCGGCTCCCCTCCCCCAGGGCCAGGCCACTCCTAAGAAGAGATTCCAATTGTGACCAATTAGGTGGTGATTCTGAAACGGGTCCCACATTCCTTTGGGAATTAAGAAAAGACCGCTGACTTCATTTGGAAGAGAGGAAGAGCTTTCTTGCCATGTTACCTTTCTTTAAGGAAGGCAGCCAACACACTAACAAGGATTTGGTGTCTCTGGTTGATCTGCTCCATCTCTGCCCAATGGAAGGAGCAGACACCTGCAGTCTCCTGGTGCAGCACACTAGCAGATTTCTCAACAGCCGCCCACACTCCACCCGAACCCTTGGACCCCAGGAGAGATGACATAGGGGTTCCTGAGCTCTTACAAAAGTAGCCCATATAGGGGCGCCTGGGTGACTCAGTCGGTTGGGCACCTGACTCTTGGTTTCAGCTCAGGTCTTGATCTCAGGGTCGTGAGATCGAGCCCTGTGTCAGGCTCCTTGCTCGGTGCAAGTCTGCTTGAGATTCTCCCTCTCCCTCTGCACCTCCCCCCTCTCATGTTCTCTAAATAAATAAATAAATAAATCTTTTTAAAAAAAGTAGCCAGTATATCCCTAATTCAGATAGTCTCGTCTCTGATCAGAGGAATAGGATTCATCTCTTTAATAGCCAATAACAATACTCGTGGGCTGAAGACGGGGCATGCATATCCCCAACGGTCAGGTGAACTTGACAATAAACAGCTCTCTCCTCTTTATTATTCCTTGGGCTGCACTGTCACAGGTTCCCTTGGAACCCTGGGCTGCCTGGAAGGCATGCACCACAGGGAGTCTCAGGCAGAGGTGGTGGTGAGTTCCTCACTTTGGTAAGTGGGGAGAGGGCAGACTTCTCAATGGCACACAGATTGTTCTCTTCCCCGGGCGGCGAGCCTGCGTGCTTTTCTCATGGCCACACTGATCATCATTTATCATAATAATGAGCATCTATACCTCTTGGCAGCTTCTAAGGGAATTAGGACAGGTATTATCATCCTGTTTCACAGATAACAATGGAGATTCAGAAAGCTGGAGTGAGTTCTGTGTCCAAACCACAGAGTGACAAATGGCAGAGCTGGCCCTGGGACTCAGCGCCACGACTTCCGTTCTTCACGTACCACATTGCCTTGCCTTATGACGCTAACAGCCAGAGACAGGAGACCCATTTTTCTGGCCGGGCTCTGGTGTTGCCTTTGGCTTAAGCATCGACTCTGGGAGAGGTCACTGCCACCTTCGGCAACTTCATGCTGCCTCCATGCCATTCATATGCACACATTCCCTCCCATTAGTAACAGGTCCTACAACTTGCCTTCACTCTTAAGGCTCTCCTCCTTGCCGCCCTCCACCCTCCCACATCTTGGCCCCTCGTCATAGGCCACAACCCCCACAACCCTGTTCCACCCATGTTGGCGTGGGAAGTGGCAATGAAGCTGAGACTTGAGATCCCAGAGAGCAGAAAGCCCAAGATTTAGGGTAGGCTGCTTAAAGAGAGAGAGTTTCCTGAAGAAGGTGGGGAGTCTCAAAAGAAAGACCCAGAAAGGTGCAAGGATGAAACAGAAGCTTAGGGAGATGACAAGACTAGCTTGGTTGGAGATGAGGAGGGGACAGGTGAGAAATGAGCCAGGAGGTGTAAGCAGAAGGGTCTCGAAGTGGAAGCGAGGGTTCCCATCAGGATACTCCCAGAAACAGCACAGTAATTACTTGAAAGAGCTTAAGCAGATAGATTGCTTCGTTATTAAAAGGCACAGAAATAAAGGTTTAAACTCACCCGCAAGATTTCTTCAACACAGCTTGGATCACTGGGAAGGCTTACCTAAAATAAAATAAACAAACAAAAATTAAGCACCATTTAGCTATTCTCAGAGAAGTTTGTTGTATAATACTTTACACGGTAGGAAAATTGTAAAGAAAGGAAATACAGCTATCAGTGTGGAGTTTTCCCCTGCTAAATACAAAGCCAAAAGTATCTGCTAGTGGCCAATTTTGATTGCTTTAATGAAGCAGTAAGACCATAGTGCAAGGTACAGAGAGTGACACGTTCCTTCACCGATTTTCTGTGGGACACTGGGCTGCCCCCCCATCACCCAGGCTTTATTTTGCTCATCTATCCAAAGTAGGAGCTCGACTTCCTCATCTTTAAGGCCCACTTGACCCTCTGCCAGGGTTTAATATATTATTCATAATCACAGATTTTTTAAAGACAAGTCCGATAGGACATACTTCTATGATTGAATTAAGTTCTTTCTAAACTTAGGAGTCTAACTAGATGCCTGCAATTCTTATCCAAAACATCAAGGCTCAAACTGTGTAAATTGCAGGCATGCCTTGGCACTTAGAGAGCATCTCACAAACATACAAAGTGAGTCCCATGAGCTGTCTTTCCCAGTGTGACATCTTCCTAATCAATCAAAATTCAAGCAACTTGCAGAAATGTCCCGAGGACTCACTGCAGGTCCAGCAAAAGGCTCTATCCTTCGGGGGCTCTATCATCAGTGAAAGCCAGAAGCCGGACACCAAAGCGAGGCACCAGCTTGAAGGCGGTGACCGGCGAGGGGCCCGGGCGTGGGACAACCACATGGAGAAGGGTCTGCCGGTTGTGACATCACCTGTGTGAGCTACAGGCATCCCCCAAACATCCCTCCTGCCTTCACACCTACCCCCTCTCCAGGACTGTGAACTGTCACTTCCACTTCTCTCCAGTCCTGGCAAGGAGAACATTTGGTCTCTTTAATTCTCTGCCTCGGAAGGTGAAAGGTCAGTCCTGCAAAGACAGTACAGCCACTGAGGCTGTACGTCCCAGACCTCTCGAGGGGGCAGTTAGGGTGAGAAGCCCCCAGTTCCTCCGACAGACTGAAGGCTGAGCATAACTCTATTTGAGGAATTGGAAAATAGAATATGGCCCCAGGTTCCCGCAAACCTGCATGTCTCCTTTCCCCCTCACAAATGTCCCAGTTTGGATGATAAATTACACAGCCACCCTTCCCAGCACAATAATATTCTAGTACTGGGTAGAAAGAACAGGAGAAGGAAAGGCTGCAAAAGAGGGCCAGGCACAACTTTCCAGAAGACCTTAAATGCAGGATCCCAATAGGCAGCTATGGGTAAGGTTTGGCCCAGCACAGTGCATTCATTCATTCAACAAATTTTGTGAGGGCCAGGGACCGTGCCTCCGGCCTTCTGCTAGGCACAGATACAAGGAAAAGCAAAAGGAGACACAGCTCCCTCCCTCATGGAGTCTGTAGACTCAAGAGGAAGGTAGATATGAGGAATCGCATAGTTAATGTAGGACTGAAACTGTGTTAAGTGCTACCTGAGCCCATCCCACAGGTACTAGGAATCTTTCCCTGTCCAAATAAGCATGGGAAATACTGCGATCCACCCCCTCCCCCGACGTGGAAATCCATGATGCGAATTAAAGGCTCCAAGACACCTATCTGTTTAACGCAACACGTTCCCAACTCTCTTGACCACTAAATTCTTGGCTTTTTAGTTTTTGTGATTTTCTTTTCCCAGTCGACATATACTACCATTCCACACAGAATGAGTGTTTGCAGAACGCACACTGGGAGATGCTGGTCTAACATAGTACAGGATTACAGAACTCAATGGATTAGTCTTAATAGCAGATACAATCTCATCCCGTTGTTCAATGCTCCAGCAACTGTATTTTCTAAGACAATCCTTGAACTTCTAACAAATAACCTTTGCCAAAGGTCAAAATGATTACAGCAGAATTAAATCTTCAGTATCATTGTTGCATTCTATCCGTGTGGGCGGCCTGGGCTAAAAAATGTATGTCCCGCTCTCAGAAAAAAGGTCTTTGCTCTTTTAGTTCCCACACAAAAACATAATGTCAATTTTTCAACCACAGAGAAAAACATATCAGCAATATGCAGACATGGCAACAACGCTTGCCTCTGGGTCTATAAGGAGCTGGGTGGGAGTTCCGGCCCTACCACAGGACTTGGTAACTTTACCCCTGTGAGTTCCAGTTTTCCCAACTGTAAAATAAAGTAGAATAAAATAAAATCGCCATCATAACAATACCCTCTCCTTTCAAATCTCACAGGGTTTCTGTGAGCAGCAAATGAAATAAGTAATGTGAATATGCTTTGTACCCTGCAAAGCCCCACACAATGAGCCAGGTTATTACCCCTTGTCCTGTTGTTCTCCTTACTGCTTTATTACTAAGTCGAGTCTTCTCGTCTTTTCCAGGAAAGACCCGACTCACTCTCGCCAACTGCAAATATCATCCCCCTACACCTGGTATTATAAATATCCATTTCCTTATGGGGGAACTGCTGTCAAAATAGAAAGAGTTGTCAACTCTGGGGCTTTGTGGCAAATCTAATAATGACTGCTCGGGGGTCGGGGGCACTCAGGATCGGAAGGGACTGCAGACAAGAGACAGTCAAATAAAATAAGTATGCATCCACACCAAGTGTTCAGATTGTTTTTCTTTTTAAGAAAATCCCAGAATCCAGCATTGGCATGGAGTCACTAGTCCTGCAAACTCATCCAGCCCTGCCCCACAGCTCTTTCCACCGCAAGACAACTACATTTGAGTGGCAAATGCTTCTCCCCTGCGAGTGCTTTTGAATTAAGCAGCGGAGCATTTCCTCTGCGCCTAGAATAGTGTTAGGCGTGGGGGGTGGGTGATACAAACAGCTATGGGACTTGGCCTCTTCTCTTGGAGTTAAATGTCTAGATGGGACGGCAAAACAAACAGAGACCCACTGGGACATACATTGTAAGGTAGTCGTGACAAGGGTAATAGGATCGCATTCACTGCCCGACCGCCTATTCATCAGTTCTCCCATTTATTTCTTTAGACAACAAATCCTGATTGAGCTCACACTGTGCTCAGGATGGTGCCAAGGGGGAGGGTTTGAAGACACTGAAGACAACATAATTTCTGGCTTCAAGACTCCACGCAAATTGGGAAGACAAACATTTACACGGGAAACAGACAATAGGGAACAGGAGGTCTGATTAGGTGGTGGAGAGAGGGTACCTACCGGGTTCACGGACAGAGCCATGTCCGACAGAAGCTCCCAGCCGCCGAGGTCCCCACTGTAGTTCTCACTCCACATGGGAGTGAGAGGCCAAGGATCTGACATGGCCACGAAGTGGCAGAGCCACCTGAGGCCACTTCAGTCTCTAAGCCCCCTGAGGAGCTGCACGCCGGGGGGGGCGGGTCACTCTGCACACTGAAGACAGCTGCACTGAGGCAGGGGCTCAGCCACAGAATTTTGCCCAGTGCACTCCCCACCACCCCCCCCACACACGCCCCTCTCGCAGTACTTCTGGAGTCACTCGGACAGGTGGGAAAGGAGACTAAGAACTAGTGGTGACACGGGGATTAGAACTGCTGCCCGCCGAGTTGTCAAGCTGCTGCTTAATTCCCGAGCCACCTTCTCCTCTCTTTCAATCCACTCTTGAGCATTCAGATAGTCCACAAAGCGCAAGTTAGCCACTCAGAGCTGCGGCGTCCTTTGCATCCCCCTCTCCGCCCCCTCCTCCTGGAGCAGAGAGCAGGCTGCATGCCGCACAAGGGAACCTGTGCTCTCCCGCTGGGCCCCAGACGACCTTCTCGGGCTGGGCACAGATGTGGTCCTCTGAGGGCCAGGGAAGGCAGGCACACACGCTGGGCAGGTGGGGAGTTGAATGAGAGCCCTCACGAGTGCCTACCCTCTCTTCACGTGACAGTGCAGGCTACCACCCCATGTAGCCACAGAGAGACCACACACCGATCATCTGCCTGGCGATAAATACATATCTTCGGAAATAATGAGGGTACCTTTAAATCATCAAATATTCAATTAACTGCAGCAACAATAAATGAATTGCATAGGATGTTTTAATCATTCTAGAATTAATCAGTTTGGAGCATACTTCTTGGCGATTAGGGTAATACAAGATATCAAAAATACCCTGATTGTGGCATTGAGAGATATAAGCAGCAGCTAGCACTAATAGAAAACATGGAGATTAATGTAAAACATTAAAAGAATAATGATCATCACATGGTTAACCGGGGAGTGGGGGAGCTCAGTGCATGCCTGTCACTACATTATTATTAAGGGACTGCGAGAGAAGGGTCATTCTTCTTTTTTTTCTTCTTCTCCCTAAAAGCACCCTGAGGTTGCCACAGTATCTGGGATTCAAAGCCCACGATTCCAGGCATATTCCACCTTGACAAAGACTTCGCAAAGTAAAACTCAAAAATCACGAGCTTAATTGCCGGCGAATGCTTGCGTTCCCCTAACAGGTGCAAGTGACACAGAGTGACACACCGCTAACACCAAATACCGTGCTAACGGCCCAGTCAAACAACATGCATGACTGACACCCACGGCAGCTTCTGAACTAATTCCGTTTGTATTTTCATTAACAAATTGCCACATTTATCCCCATGATTGATTTATGGGACACGGAGCTCCCCTGACACGGCATTACTAATAGAATGGAAAGTCAGGTTATGATATTGCACTACCAAATGAGTTTGCCGGCTTTTTAAAATCTTTAATCCCCATGGTTGGTCACTTGTAAAAACCAAGGGGAAGCAGCCTCTGGAGTTCTGATTTGCATGCGCCTGGGGATCCCTTTATCTCCCCACCCCACCCAGGGAGTCCCGGGTCTCCAGTTTGGAAAACTACAAACCCAGTTCACATTAGGATCCGTCAGTCCCCTGCTTCCTGCCTCACCTTAACCTGTCCCTATTCTAGTTGGTATTCATGAGGCCATGATTAAACGGGAACAGTTAATATTACATAAGCTGCCAACAGAAGTCCTCAGGTAATAGAACTTTAA